TTCCCATCTCAACCCATCCAAATTCAACCTAGGCCAAACTTAAATCAGCGTTTCCCGACTAACGCTGAAGTCTTTGGCAACCAACAAACAAAGAATCCGAATACAAACGTTTTTAAGCCCAATTCTTCAAATCCAAGAAATCTTCCAAGGCCGACACCGATGAGTGTCAGCACAAGAAACACAATACGTCCACCATTCGCTCCAATTCCGGCGAACACACCTCGACCTCAGCAAAATTTTATCTTTGAGGAACTGTATAACACCGAGTTAAATGATAACGCAACATATGAAACTTATGATACAGGCAATTTTGCTACTAACGTCGAAAATAATTACGATGAATTCTATGCTGACCCCAACCAAAATATTTGTCAATACGATCATTACAATACCGATCAAAATAATGAACTTGACATGCCCAACCCAACCTCGACGTCAGGAAATGAAAATTTTCCCCCAGCCAGCCAGGTTATTCAACCGACATAAACAGTGAAATTATATCGTTCAATGCTAGCAACACAAAAGGATTGAGCTATATAGTTTTTCCCGAATATGACATAAAACTTTTGATTGACTGCGGGTCTACTAGGTCATTTATAGATCCAGACATCGCATTCAAATATTTTCCACAACAAATCAAAAATGAACCATTCATTGTTTCGACTGTATTTCAGAAATCCGCCCATAAATTCAGTACTTTAATACCAGCATCCAAAATTTTCAATTTGCCTCATCTAAAGGAATTAAAATTTTACTTGTTCAAGTTTCATGATTTTTTCAATGGTTTGATCGGTATGGATAACTTAGAAGAATTACAGGCAAGACTCTTATTTCAAGAAGGGTTTCTTGTGACACCGTATGCAAAAATCAAGTTGCTTTATCAAAAACCTAAGAATAATTTGAATTTTGTTACCATCGAACCTCGCACTGAGCTTGTCATAAAAGTTAAAACATCCATAAGCCATGGCGAAATTATTATACCCCACCAAAAAATCCATAATTGTGAAATACCGGAATGCTTGACTATTGCGAAAGATAGTTATGCTTTGACGACCTTACTGAACAATACGACAGATACCGTTACACTCGACTTTTCTGAACCCCTTTCTGTTGAACCATTTTACCAGTCTATACATCCGACGATATGTCAAGAATTTGATCTTAATAATATCAACGATTCTCCAGAAAATAAACTAGACTATTCCAAAATTAGAGTAGACCACCTAAATTCAGAAGAACAGTCCGCAATCCTCAAACTTTGCAAAGAATTTTCGGATATATTTTATCGTGAAGGCGAACCACTAACTTTCACAAACAAGATAAAACATCAGATTCGAACTACTGATGAGATCCCAATTTATTCCAAGACCTACCGGTACCCCTTTGTTCACCGACAAGAAGTAAATGACCAAATCCAAAAAATGTTGAAATCGAACATTATTAGGCAAAGTAATTCGCCATATTGCTCGCCCATTTGGGTTGTGGCTAAGAAGATGGATGCCTCTGGCAAACAGAAATGGCGCGTCGTAATAGACTATCGTAATCTTAACGATAAGACTATTGATGACAAATATCCACTTCCCAATATAAACGACCTGCTGGACAAACTAGGAAGATGCCACTATTTCAGTACGTTGGATCTTGCTAGTGGTTTTCACCAAATAGAAATGGATGAGAAAGACATTGAAAAAACAGCATTTAACACCGAAAATGGCCATTGGGAATTTTTGAGAATGCCGTTTGGTCTTAAAAATTCACCAGCCACGTTCCAACGAGTGATGGATAACATCCTCCGAGGAATTCAAAACGAAAAATGTCTCGTTTACCTCGATGACATTATCGTATTTTCGACGTCTCTTCAAGAGCACTTAGAAAGGCTACGATCTGTCTTTACCCGACTACGCGAATCTAACTTTAAAATTCAGTTAGATAAATCCGAGTTTCTAAGAAAAGAGGTTGCATACCTCGGACATATAGTAACTCCTGAAGGCGTGAAACCTAACCCTGACAAAATCTCAGCAATACAAAATTTCCCTATACCAAAAACTAATAGGCAAATAAAAAGCTTTTTAGGACTCTTAGGCTATTATCGGCGATTTATTCCAAATTTCGCTCAACTCACGAAACCTCTCACTAAGTGCCTCAAAAAAGGCGCAAAAATTGTTCACGACGACGAATTTGTATCATGTTTCGAAAACTGTAAGACATTACTTACCAACGACCCAATACTTCAGTACCCAGACTTCACAAGACCGTTCAATTTGACAACTGACGCAAGCAATGTAGCTTTAGGGGCAGTTCTTAGTCAGGGTCCAATCGGTAGTGATTTGCCTGTAGCTTATGCGTCACGAACCTTAAATGATTCGGAAAGAAAATACAGCACTACCGAAAAAGAGTTGTTAGCTATAGTGTGGGCTACCAAATATTTCAGACCTTACCTCTATGGGCAGACCTTCAATATTATAACAGATCATAAACCCCTCCAGTACCTTTATTCATTAAAGGAAGGCGTCTCCTCAAAATTAATGAGATGGAAAATGAAACTTGACGAATATAATTTCAAAATCATCTATAAAAAAGGCAAACATAGCTCGAGATAGTGCAAAAATATTTCAACCAGGTCAGAAAGCATTCGTTAAGAAAAATATACGTCAGAAAAATGCAAATAAATTCCAAAAATCATGTACACTAACATCAGTCGATCCTGGTAAAAAGACCGCTACTACTGATAAACACAATAAAGTACATATCGATAATTTGAAGCGTCCCATTCGCAAACCATATTCATTTAGCAACTAAATGTTTCTCTCCAAGTATGACATACATACATGTAGGTATTATTCATTTGCAGATTCCTGCAAGTAACGGTTGGACTTCAGGATAACATAACTATACGTAACCTCGACAACAATCCAGGACTACTTCCCGTGGAAATTGGTGAAGCAAAAGTAAAAGACTATGACTTTTCACTCATTCATTATTATGATATGAATCCCATCATTTCTGAAATTGAAAAATTATCAATTTCCTCCTCACGTATAGCAGAAACCATTTCTTCAAATTTAAATGTCACTACATATTTGTCCAATTATTTCAGAACATTAAAATTTGTTCAGCGACAGGTAGAACAAAAGTTACATACAAAGCGAGGAAAAAGAGGCATATTAAATGGCATTGGGTCGATATTCAAATCAATAACTGGAAACCTTGACGCCAATGATGGCGAACGTTTCGAAAATCTAATTCAAGAGCTTCAAAATAATCAAAGAGAATTGACTAACAGTGTCACACAGAATAATGCACTGTCAGTATCTCTTATTGATAAGTTCAATAAAACTGTTCAGCAAATCTGTCATAATGAACAATTGCTGAATAATAAAATTAATACCATATATGCAATTGTTCATCGTACTACAATCGATTCAGATCAGCATAAATTCATAGTAGACACAGTATCTCAAATTATGAACAGCTACGAAGTAACTCTGTCAATATTACAAGACGTTGAAAATTCAATAATTTTTGCACGTCTTGGAACAATTCACTCTAGCATTATTACAACCGAAGAAATTTTTGGTGAACTGAAACTATTGAGCTCAAGATTAGGCCAGGAAAAATTTGCGATTCCAGTTTTACTAGATAACATACCAACTTTTGAAAAAATAATCAAAATCTCCAGTTATTCTGTGGGCAACAAAATTACATTCGTTTTATCATTCCCAATCTCATACTATGAGTCATTTAACTTATATCGTCTCTTTCCAATCCCGATATATTTTGAAGGTCAATTTAAGACTATCATTCCAAAGGAGCCTTATTTGGTAAAAAATGAATTGCACTTTGCACTTTTCGGCGACATTTGTACTGAAATTGCTCCTAAAAAGTTTCTCTGCGAGAAGACCATCTTGCGAGACATTAATGGTCCATCACCCTGTGAACTTGAACTATTCAACGGAAGAAACGCCCCTGCATGTGCCCGAACTCCACTGATAATCAATCAGCCAAGTATCGAACGAATCCAACGGACTAATCAATGGGTATTGATCCTGCCACTACCAGAAGTTATCAAAATGGAATGCCACGAAGAAATGCAAATGAAAAGATTGACGGGAACTTACCTACTTTATATTCCTGTCAACTGTCAAGCCGAAATTAATCACCAAATCATCAAAAATGAACCCGAAACGATTGTCGCGGGCCAACCTATAATATTCCCGGATTTAAACCTGGACACTAAAGGGGACATCACAGAAACAAATTTCAGTCTGCATCTAGAAAAAATTAAGCTAGACGAGTTAAGTAAAATCAAGTCAAGCATTATCAACAACAAACCCAACTTCAAAAAACCTACAGAATTTTTTATACCCAGTGCCTGGACACTGATAATATATGGATGTATATTACTCTTGGGTGTCTACGCATTCTGGAAAACCATTTTGAAGAGGAGGAAGCTCAGAAATAGAAGTATTCAACAACCAGAAGTCGAACTTCATCCTATTCAACTTCCTTGAAGAATTCTTCCCCGAAGTTGAATCTCAGGGGGGAGGAGTTATATCAGCCGTTCCTGCTGATATGATAGGAATACTGCCGACGATGCTACTAATTTCCTAGAAGACCTAGAGTTTACTTTATTGTTCTCAACACATTTTACAGTCAGTCAGATTTAAGCCTTTGTACTGTTTACATCATAATAACATTGTAATAATTTTGTAAAAGTACAGTTTTGAGTTTTGTATTTTCGAAAAATAAACTTTTTAAAAAGCGATCTCGAAGCATCGATCTTATAACTCGTGCGTTCATTGTTTACTATTTATTCATTATGTATTAAGTATAGTACCTGGTAATGTCATCACAAACTCAGAAGCGAAAGCACAAAACATTGACAATTAAAGAAAAATGTGATATTTTAGACCGCTTAAATCGCAATGAAACTTTCAGTAGTTCAGCAAGTGAATACGGCGTAGGCCGATCTACAATTTATGACATTAAAAGAAACCACGAGAAGATCAAGAAGTTCGTGTCAACTACTGACTGCGGGCCAGGCAAGAGACAGACACTCAAGAAAGCTGAACATCCAGAAGTGGAAGAAGCTCTGTACATGTGGTTTCTTCAGGAAAGAAATAGGCATGCACCAATTTCAGGACCCATGTTGGCCATGAAAGCTAAGTTTTTTTATAAGGAAACAAGAAAAAAGGATGATTTTGTGGCCACCAAACTATGGCTAGAACGTTTTAAAAGTCGTCATGGCATACGTTTAATGACTATTACAGGAGATAAACTTTCTAACGATGCCACCTGCATAGTGCCTTTTATATTAAGATTTGTAAAAGGTGAACGATTTAAATCTTGACCCGTCACAGGTATACAATGCAGACGAATCAGGGCTTTTTTGGCGTGGATGCCTAACAAAACTTTCGTTTCTTGTAACGAAAAATCCGTACCTGGACGAAAAGTAAGTAAAGAGCGTGTAACCATACTACCATGTGCTAACGCTGCTGGCACACATGCGCTTAAGATGATGGTCATTGGGAAATCTAATAAATCACGGGCATTCATAAACATTGATTTACCTGTACACTATTACGGACAAAAAAGTGCATGGATGACAAAAGACCTTTTCAAAAAGTGGTTTGATGAATGCTTCATACCTGAAGTTAGAAAATGGTTAAAGATCATAATTTTCCTCAAAAAGCGGTGTTGCTTCTTGATAACGCTCCCGGTCATCCGCCTGAAGAAGAACTAACAACTGAGGATAAATGCATCACTGCGATGTTTCTTCCGCCAAATTGCACTGCACTGATTCAACCAATGGACCAGAATATCATTCAGTTTGTCAAGCAAGACTATAAGAAAAACCTACTTCTGAGAGCCGGATCAAAAGACCAACCAATAGAAAAAACTGTAAAAGAATTTAATATGAAAGACTTGGTTTTTGCTCTTTGTCAGTCGTGGAATGCGTTACCGCCATCAACTATTAAATCGTCCTGGAAAAAGTTATGGCCAGATATAGTCACCACTCCTAGCAACGTTCCACAAATCAGTGTAAGTTCGGAAGTTATAGAACAAGTCGCTACTGAAACGCAGATAAGTCCGGATGATTTGGAAATCTGGTGCCGTGGAATGGATAAAGAGGAAAATGTTTTTCATTAAATGTCTGACGACGAGATTATAAAAGAGGTTTCTAATTATACAACAAACAATCAGGAAAATAACGACGACGTGATTGCAACTGCTCCACAAGAATGGTACATCCTACTTAATGCTTAATTTTATAATAAAACGTAAGCTCTCTATTGTTATTTAATTTACTAAATTCGACATACATAAACTATGTATGATTTGTACTTCAAAGTACCATACATATACATAACATATATAATCTTACCATTGGATATGTAATTTGTCGGATTACAAGGTACTCTTTTGTAAAAAAATCCGACAAATTCGATAGTCCGACACTGCCCTGCATAATGTTTGTCGGATTACCGGAGGTCCACTGTATTAGTATAAATAACGTAAGACTGGATGTTTGCAATGTATATACATTTTTGGGACTACATATTGTACAATAACAGACGTAGTTAGTAGAAACAGAATTCGTATGGTTCAGAATACGTATTGTCGACTTGTTCACAGGCTGAGAAAATTGAGAATTTAAATTGGCTCAAAATTTCCGTTAGTTTTAAATACGATTTGCTAATTTTTGTACATAAATTAATTAAACAATCCACATCTTCATAACTAAAAAACAAATTAATTTACAGATCCAACCCCATACTCTAGATATGAGGTTACTGACTATGGCTTTCCACTGAACCAGGCTTTTCTATAGACGCTTTACGTATCAGTCAATTTTCCATATCAATGCACTCCCTGTTAGAAGTTAAGAAATTACTGTTACAGAAATTTGGAGTAGCACTTAAAAAATATATAGTTGATATACACGTGTAAAGACATCAGATACAAATATATAGTTTAATGTAAAAATATGTTAAATTTAAAACAAACACAACGGCTACTGAAGGTTAGGTGTAAGTGTAGTTTAAGGCTGAATCTCGCCTTTTCTAGTTTATAGCAATAGACTATTATTATTAATATTATTGTTTTTTCTATTTCTTCTTCTCCTTGGGGTTCATATTCCCTACTCTGGTACAGAGTAAGAGGTTCTTGTTTAATATCCCATAATAGTAGATCTAGTCTATTTGCAGGGATAATTCTCTCTGTAAGGATGGATCTTTCCTAATATAACTTATAGTTTTGATTAGAGATCATACTGGATGATACATACTTATAGTCAAACCTACTCTCCTGGATGAGATTGTGCCTAAAAGCAAGGACATGGTATCTTTCTTTCATATCGTCGTTTGTAGTCTGTAGCTGCCAGCGTGCTGCATCCTCCTGTGATGTGATCAAAGGTTTATCCAACTTGGCCACATATTCTGCATTTATGTGCAACAACGATTGGGTCCTTGACACTATATTTGAGGTAATTTCTTGTAGGTACGACTGGGTCCTGGATAGCCACGATATATTCTTCCGTTTCTGAGAAAGGTTGGCCAGCACATAAATAATGAATTGATCATCTCTTATCAATGCCTTCAGAATCAAGACTCGCTGGGTATCTTCCATGCAAAGCCTTTCTCTTCCAGGATTCTTTTCTATCTTCTAAACTATCCAATTAGCTCATCACAAAAAAAATAACAACCCTAAACCTAATCCGTTAGTTGTAATTGCGATTAAATGTTCATTGTCCCGTTTTTTTTTTCGATGTTTCACAAAATTGCAAATATCTCCTGAACTATAACATTTCGGACCCCACATATAGGAGTTCATTCGATAGGTTTTCAGGTCCTCTTATCACCTGAGTTTCGTTGATCACTACTAACTTTACACATCGTATATACATTCTAAATTATTATTGATGTGTGCCACAGCCGCAGATAAAGAGTCAGGATTGAAGTTGTGAATACAAGCAAATTAACTGAGAAATTGAATTAGTGAATTGGATAAAAGGTAAAAGTACAACATTATACAAAGTTAAGTTGGCCGAATCGCAAGAATTTATAACTTGAAAATATTACCCTGCCATTGTTAGATGCAAGATACACTGAAGATAATAATTTCACTTTGCCCTGCTTAAATTCCGATTTGACTAAACACATCGTTAAGGAAAGCAGTGGCTCAGAAATGTCTTCGCTAGATAGTATAAAATTTTCTCCGTGGTTATACGAACGAAGTCCCAGTTTATTTTTCGAAGGAATTTCAGCTTGAGTAGAAAAATCGATATGTAGAACATACCCTCAGTTATCTACATGTCCTTCTATCTTTCAGAATCTTTCAGCTATAAAATTTATGACATTTGAACAACGTCGTACATGCTGCTAGGTGTGTATAAAAGAAACGACAAAGCCCAATTTTCGTCCACTGTGCGTATAGGGACTTGCTAACAACTCTTTTATTCAGGAAAGTTCCTTCGTAGACAAAAAAAACAACGCTATAAGCAAAATTTCTGTCAATGATCATGAATGACTACACTGCAAGTCAGCTGGGAATAAAATACAATAAACAGGTCTTCACTATGTTAGTCATCTTTACTTTTTAGAACCTGAAACGCCATATGATTTTAAAGGGCAGTGACATAGCCATACAATTGATTAAAAATGTGTGGCAGCACATGACCGAATTCGGTTCGAAGTTCGATTCCCTGACTCAGATCGGAAGAATACTCAGATAATTCTAACAAGTGAGAAATTAGAAAAATGTAAGTGGTAGTGGTACAACTATTGCAGGAAGTCATGAAATGTACTCAACTTGGACAACGCCAGTGTTCGTGAATACAGATATGGGTAATCTATTGAGAACGCTGCAAAAGTCAAGACAAAACGAAAACGTCGTGTGGAAGCTGATAGCGCTTGTGGGAGGTAAATAAGAAATGTAGTTTATGGTTATTACAGATTTAATTTTCTATCAAAAGGATGTGCTGAAGACGTGGGAGTCTGTTCTTGAATCGGTCACTCGGACATACACACAAACTCATGATGATGATACTTAACCTGTATTTGAATTATATTACACCTATGACTGACAATTAACCATAAACACGTGTCTATATTATTTTTATAGATAAAATTACAGCTACTGGCTACTTACAAAGTAATCAATAAATCTCAGATATTGTCTAATATACATATTTTATGGTCCTTCGTATATTTTATTGTCAAAATTCTCAGTCACTAATAGTCTTTAGATATATGAACAGCAACTCTGAATACGGCACTGAGTTTTACTGCATTTACTTCTGAGATTTACATTTGATTCATTATTGACAACGTTACAGACTAAGACAAAGATGTCACTTCCTGATCAGTTGTTCAAATCAGTCCTCAGTAGACGTCAAACGGTAATGGATACTCGTTAAGTAGGCTGTTCATTGGCATGAAAGCAATCAAATTTCAACTGTTACAAAAAACCCAGTAATACTTTCCTTCTTCCTAAGATTCCTAGTCATCGTCTTTAGGACATTATCCGAATTTATATCGGTTGGCCACGTTAGGTAATTTTCTTCGACGGTGCTCTGTTATGATCCTAATTTGATCCAATCTGAAAGCAGATCAAATCCTTGATATTCTATAAGTCCATGGTGGACTCTAATTTGACCCTATCTTCAATCACTAGTATCTACGCATGGTCAGCGTTAGAAACATGGTCACATTCTAATTACTGTAATTGGACAAATTGGACCAGCGTTGTCCGTAGATACTTATCGTAGACCATCCAACACTTTCTTATTCTTAATTGAGGTGCCTTTTTACGACATCTGATTAATATATTCTCCAACGCTCAGCGTGTTAGGGATATCTGGGTAATTTTGTCAAATTAATGTACCGTGATAAACAAGGGACTTAGACAAATACCAAACAGATGTTATGGAACGTTGAGCTGGAATTTACAACATTAGAGGAACTGAAAATAGAAGTAACTTAATAGAGCCTCCAAAGCAAACTATCCTTTTTACTTCCTACGCCTCTGGCGAGGAGGTGTTGTAATAGCGAACATTCTCTGAAATGAGATATTATGGTTTTTGGATGTTTTATGACATGTGGGGCATTTCACCTGAAGCGGACAGCGAATAGTAAGCTTTTAGGATTCATTCATATTGGGCCTACTTAAACGCTCAGTAGGTGTCAAAGAAAAGATACGAAGTTACGGGCTTCGAAAGATAAGCCGTTTTTGAAATTGGGGCTTTGTCGAGGATTTTTTTCGAATTGCGATATTAAGCATACAGTCTCATATAGCAAATTTTCTGCATTTTTTGATAAA